CGTAGTCGTCGTCGTGGTCGTCTTCGGCGTCGTGATCGCCATGGTCGTCGAGTTGCATCACCGATTCGGGATCTGCACCAGCAAGGTTTAGGAATTCAGGCTTTTGGTTCCATTGCCAGGAAGCTGAACAAACATCACTCTCAAGCCAGCTGTCCTCGGCTGCCGTGGCGGCCCGGTCACGCTGCTGCGCACGCGTTCCCCTGGAAGACCTCGGGCGAAAAAAAACAACAGAGGTGCAGAGAGGGTCTAGCCTTTGGCGTTTCATAGATTCGGGTTCATGGCCTAAGCTTTATGGAGTTTAAGTTGTTGCAGCTTCAGGTCTTGAAGGTACGGGATGGGTCAGCCGCAGCTTAGAACGGGTGCTGTGGTTTGATGGCAGCACGGTTGCTTGAATGCGATGCCCCCAAGGCACAAAGCTTAAACCAAAGTAAGATGCAAGAACCCTGTGCATTTGCTCTGCAGAGCCTGCTATTGGGCTTGGGAGGGCTGAAGGAAAGTCTCCGTACGATATCCTCGATTCCTATTACAGAAACCAGATGTCTCTGTTATTGTATAGCTTTTTCTGTCTCTCACTCCTACTAGTTATTTCTCGCAAACTCGCTCCCTCTCTCGCTCCCTCTCCCTGTCTCTCTCTGTGGCGAGGGGCCTTTGTAGCGATTTTCGCCCTGGACCTACACTTAGGCCATCGAAAAGGCCTGATGTGTGTGTTTCCAACCCCATGGTTGATCAAATTCAGGAACAGTTCGGAAGTTTTGGGTGTGGAATTCAGCGTTGCTTCAGGCGGTGCCCTGTAGGAAGCCGTGCAGACACGCTTGGTCTAGACTGCAAAACTTTCTTGAAGAGGCCAACTGTCTAAGGGGCTACTATGCCAACCAAGACCAGTCTACCCCACAATCAGCGGGATGTACCAATGTAAGAAGAAACACATGTATGTATGAGTGAATGACTATACGTATGTATGTATGTATGTATGTATGTACATCTGTATGTGTATATCTGTATATATATATATATATACGTATATCTATATGTAGATGTATAGATATGTGTATATAGAGTCCGGGGACTGTGGGCGTGCACCTTTTTGATGTTTGTTGATGTGTAAATGAATCTTCGCACGAGTGCTGAAGCAATGAATCGGCAGCTTTTGCGAGCAAGTGAGGTTGTTGGTTATCATTATGAGTCTGGTCTAAAGTTCTAGCGACTAGAGACACGGTCCTTGAAAGCGGATCGGCCTCTAGCAAACAAACGTACCTGTTACGGATTTTCCCGATGCCAAGCAAGGGAAAGTGGAAAAAACTTGTTGCGCCGCCCAGTATATACATATGTATGCAGGTATATATGCATATGCACTACTACCTATCAGTAGTATCGTTGTTTTCCACTTTTTCTGTTTTAGATTCTCTATCTATATTTAAATATATACACATATGTATGAAGTTTTGTAGGTATGTCTCTATACGTATGCATCTAGATACATATCTGTGTCTGTGGGTGAGTATATGGAGTTCATAGTCAGTTATATAACCTGAAACTGGTCAGCAAGCTTGACCCTTTGCATTGGTATGTGTATATACATGTGGCACTGTTTCCCGATTCCTTGTGTAAAATAGTTTGGTCTTCCGACAACGTCGTATTTGTTCATGCATATCTCTCTGCGTAATATGAACAGTACTCCCCTTGTTGTGTAAACCTCACATCTATGTATAAAGAAATCTTACCATTCAGTCCTGTATAGACACGTCTAATAACATATATACGAGAGTGTTTGCATATAGGCTTCTTTAGCCTTCACCAAGTACATGACTACGCACAAAAGTAAACAGACTATACAAGGGATACGTATATGAATTCGTTATGTTCTAGTTATGGCTCTATGAATAGGAGAAAGCAAAACATAGTGTGAATGGCAACTATGGAAAAAATAAACGGATAAACGCATGTATGCATATCAGGGAAGACAATATAATTATGCGATAAGATCAGAGCATATTACGTATTTAACCTGGAATACATTGGCCTATGTGTTGTATAGTATACAAGAAAATACATTGCGAATAATAATAAAAAGAGGAATGATGTGATTGCAAATGAAACTTCTGCTGGTACTCCATTAACATCTGTTCGTAGTATCTGAAGCCGACGAAATGGTATTTCATTCACAAATGAATAATTAAATGCATCATGAAGCAATTAGATAAAGCTCGAATAGTGATTGTATTTTCAATTGCCTATTTATGATTCAGAATACAGGTCAGTATACACCCCATTATTGTACTTCAAATACATAGGTAGATAGATAGATACATAGATAGCTAGCTAGCTAGCTAGCTGGCTAGCTAGCTAGATAGATAGGTAGATAGATGGATAAATAGATAGATATATGTATGTGCATATGTGCGCATTAATCTCAAAAGCAAACGCCCGCATATGCGTATATACATATATCCACGTACATGTCATACACATACTATGTACTTGTAATTGTTTGTAACCCTAG